TGTTCGTTTTTTCTATATAAGCTATACAACTATAATTTTAAGCTATACAACTATAATTTCAAACAGAGCTAAAGCATGAATGGATAGCTTTTTAATCAAATACAAATAGTGATATTAAATTGAGTGTGTGACATATTAAGTAGGTTTCTGAAGTAATACAACAATTCTACAATATTCCATTTGTGGAGGGGGGTCCTAAATTCGTTTTCCACACTTCTATTATCTATATAATTATAGTATGCATTTCTATACCATTCATTCGATTGTGATCAAACTGGGTCAAGTGAAATGCGCACTACCGAAAATGTTTCTAAATTAGAAAAAAACATTTTACAATATTCCGTTTGGGCCAGTGACCCTAATTTCATATTTTCTTCTAAGAGCTTTGTAACTATAATTTCAAACAGAGCTATTGCATGTGTGGAAGTAGCTGAATCCGCCGGCAATTTTTTCAAATTTAGTACATCCATTGTACAATATTCCAATTAGGGCTGGGGACCCTAAATTCAATTTATTTTCTTAAATGAGCTTCATCAATATAATTTATAACGAAGATATCAACACTACCGCCCTTGAACAAATGACACATTTGTAGTAAAGCAGAGAAAACACGTTTTTACATTTTTAGTGTAGAGAGTATTTTTGTTATTTGTATAAATAAGCTTGAATTTTGTGACGCATTTTAGAATCGGAAATGACATCGAAATCGCGTTTTTTTTTTCAACTAAGAGTATTTCTTGAATAGAGTCTTATAATTTCGGAGTTGTTTTGTGTTTTGTAAATACATTTTACACCAATCGATGGTTTCTCAAGTAATTAAATAACACACTTGACAGCGTAGATATTGAACTATGGTCATTTTTTACCGCTGGAATTTACGATTTATAAATTAATGAGAAACTATACAACTGGAAATCTCCTGCCAACAATGAACGTACCTATTGTGCGAGGTTTTCATGTAAAAAGATGGGAGATCCTAACGTGTGAGAATTACATTCACCATCAAAACCATTATCATTGTTGGTATCAGGTGACAATAGCCAATCGAAACATTTCTTGGCAAACATACGCAAATGCAATTCATGTTTCCAAATGACATCGTTCGGTGCAACAAATATCGTGCGCGAGAATTACATGCCAACATTTAAAGTAAAGTGAAAGGCCAAATTTACCATCGTGTAGGATCTCTGATGCCAATGCCAAACACAGATCACAAATGTCTTCAAATGATTTCATGGGGAATACTGATGAGCAAATCGATCAACGTTGTCATATCAATACGGGCACTAAACGAGAAATCGTCGCTGCAATGCAAACGTTATTTTTGCAACACAACGAATTAATTCAAATGTATAGAGTTGCACTTGAAAAGATGCCGACTGATGAATACAAAGTCATAGTTAGAGCAGACTAAACACCTGTCGGCCAACATGAAAGACAATACAATGCACCAACAATTGATGAAGTGGCGATCATTATAGTTGGCAAAGAATTTAACTCAAGTGATATAATTCTTCATCACAGAAGTGTTGATGTTCAGCGAGTCTCAGAAACTCATCGCTCATACGTTTGATTGCAATATCCTATTTTATTTTGGGAAGGAGAAGATGGATATCATTTTGACATCAAATTGAGAAATTCGAATAAGAAAGACAGTGCCATGAAATACTATTCATATCGATTGATGGTTCATGAGTTGGGAATGACCTCTCGGAATCGATCTGCAAACAAACTTTTCGCTCTTGATTTGCAACGAGAAACGCACTTTGATATCAAAGCATTAGGTACGGTACATTTTTTCAAATGAATCTTCCGAAATTGGTTCCATTGAAGTTACTATTTTAAATGGAAAATTTAAACTAGGTGATGTACTTTTGCCATTCACCCCAATGATTCCAACAGATATGCCATTTGAATTCAAACGCCTACAGTTTCCAATGCGACACGCGTCTACAATGACTATCTAAAAAGCACAGGGACAATCGCTACAAGTTTGCGGAGTAAATTTGGAAAACCCATGCTTCGCCCATGGGCAGATGTATGTGGCCTGCTCTCGCGTCGGAAAATCTTTTGATTTATTCGTGTATATACCAGATGGAAAAACAAGAAAAACTTTGTGTATTTAAAAGCTCTTGAAGAAACATAACATGCAAACACTTTCTTTCCTTGAGTGGCATTGCAACGCATGCCGGGTACTCGCTAGTGATTTATATTACTATTCTCATGTCCCAACCACTTTTAAACCGAATATTTTTTACACAACACTTAAATTGAGACGATTTCATTTCCGATAAGAAAATATTATGCACCAAACGCAATTGCGTTACAAATATATATATATATATATATATATATATATATATATATATATATCATACATAGAGTTGTTATCGGGAATTATATTTTGCGCGCTAGTGAACTCTATATTGAACCACACTCTAGCGTATATATAAATATCATCAATATAATTTATAACGAAGATATCAACACTACCGCCCTTGAACAAATGACACATTTGTAGTAAAGCAGAGAAAACACGTTTTTACATTTTTAGTGTAGAGAGTATTTTTGTTATGTGTATAAATAAGCTTGAATTTTGTGACGCATTTTAGAATCGGAAATGACATCGAAATCACGTTTTTTTTTCAATGAAGTGTATTTCTTGAATAGAGTCTTATAATTTCGGAGTTGTTTTGTGTTATGTAAATACATTTTACACCAATCGATGGTTTCTCAAGTAATTAAATAACACACTTCACAGCGTAGATATTGAACTATGGTCATTTTTTACCGCTGGAATTTACGATTTATAAATTAATGAGAAACTATACAACTGGAAATCTCGCCCCAACAATGAACGTACCTATTGTGCGAGGTTTTCATGTAAAAAGATGGGAGATCCTAACGTGTGAGAATTACATTCACAATCAAAACCATTATCGTTGTTGGTATCAGGTGACAATAGCCAATCGAAACATTTCTTGGCAAACATACGCAAATGCAATTCATGTTTCCAAATGACATCGTTCGGTGCAACAAATATCGTGCGCGAGAATTACGTGCCAACATTTAAAGTAAAGTGAAAGGCCAAATTTACCATCGTGTAGGATCTCTGATGCCAATGCCAAACACAGATCACAAATGTCTTCAAATGATTTCATGGGGAATACTGATGAGCAAATCGATCAACGTTGTCATATCAATACGGGCACTAAACGAGAAATCGTCGCTGCAATGCAAACGTTATTTTTGCAACACAACGAATTAATTCAAATGTATAGAGTTGCACTTGAAAAGATGCCGACTGATGAATACAAAGTCATAGTTAGAGCAGACTGCACACCTGTCGGCCAACATGAAAGACAATACAATGCACCAACAATTGATGAAGTGGCGATCATTATAGTTGGCAAAGAATTTAACTCAAGTGATATAATTCTTCATCGCAGAAGTGTTGATGTTCAGCGAGTCTCAGAAACTCATCGCTCATACGTTTGATTGCAATATCCTATTTTATTTTGGCAAGGAGAAGATGGATATCATTTTGACATCAAATTGAGAAATTCGAATAAGAAAGACAGTGCCATGAAATACTATTCATATCGATTGATGATTCATGAGTTGGGAATGACCTCTCGGAATCGATCTGCAAACAAACTTTTCGCTCTTGATTTGCAACGAGAAACGCACTTTGATATCGAAGCATTAGGTACGGTACATTTTTTCAAATGAATCTTCCGAAATTGGTTCCATTGAAGTTACTATTTTAAATGGAAAATTTAAACTAGGTGATGTACTTTTGCCATTCACCCCAATGATTCCAACAGATATGCCATTTGAATTCAAACGCCTACAGTTTCCGATGCGACACGCGTCTACAATGACTATCTACAAAGCACAGGGACAATCGCTACAAGTTTGCGGACTAAATTTGGAAAACCCATGCTTCGCCCATGGACAGATGTATGTGGCCTGCTCTCGCGTCGGAAAATCTTTTGATTTATTCGTGTATATACCAGATGGAAAAACAAGAAAAACTTTGTGTATTTAAAAGCTCTTGAAGAAACATAACATGCAAACACTTTCTTTCCTTGAGTGGCATTGCAACGCATGCCGGGTACTCGCTAGTGATTTATATTACTATTCTCATGTCCCAACCACTTTTAAACCGAATATTTTTTACACAACACTTAAATTGAGACGATTTCATTTCCGATAAGAAAATATTATGCACCAAACGCAATTGCGTTACAAATATATATATATATATATATATATATATATATATATATATATATATATATCATACATAGCGTAGTTATCGGGAATTATATTTTGCGCGCTAGTGAACTCAATATTGAACCACACTCTAGCGTATCTATAAATAGCCTGCGTCTTGTTTGACCGGCCTTGTTTGACCTTTGCTTGCGAATTATATATTTAGATTATTTGTAATATACTCTCAATACTAAATTTGTTAATTAAGAAGCAGTCCGTTAGGAAGCAGTCCATGAGTGACACCAGAAGCTAATATATAGATAAGAGCTGACATCGTATAGCAGTAAGAAATAGGGAATACTCTCTCTCTCTCTCCATCTTTCTCTCTCACTCACTCTCTCTCTCTTTAACATACACTCTCTGACATTCTCTCTTACTCACTCTTTCTCTCTCTTTCTTTCTCTCTCTCTTTCTCTTACTCTCTCTTACACACTCTTTCTCAGTCCCTCTTTCTTTCTTTCTTTCTCTCTCTCTCTCTCTCTCAATCTCTCTCTTCTACACTTTCGCTAGTTCTTCTCTCACTCTCTATCTCTCAATCGCCCTCTCTCTCTTTCGCTCGCTCTCTCTCACTATCTCTCTGTCCTACACTTTCATTAGTGCCCCTCTAAATGCTTATCTCTAAATCTCTATATCTCTCTTATTCCCTCCCTCTCTCTCTCTCTCTCTCACTATCTCTCTCCTAAAATTTCATTAGCTCCCTCTTGATCTCTTACTCTCTCCTACAGCCATCATTGAAAGATTCTTTTGCCGATTCCTTGACGGGCAAGGACCAGATCCAGCCCGAGGCCTTCTTGACCAGTGGTGCAGATTTACGGAATAACTTGATAGACTTGTTGCGTCCTGTGGAGGTGTACACCACAGAGGACAGCGACGAGGAGTGGTAGATGGGTAAGTCAGGGGGAGCTAGAGGTGTATAAAACATGGGAGTTAGAGGTGTACAACACATGGGAGTTGGAGGTGTACAACACATGGGAGCTAGAGGTGTACAACACATGGGAGTTGGAGGTGTACAACACATGGGAGTTGCAGGTGTACAAAACATGAGAGTTGCAGGTGTACAACGCATGGGAGTTGGAGGTGTACAACACATGGGAGTTGGAGGTGTACAACGTACACCACATGGTAGTTAGAGGTGTACAACACATGATAGTTAGAGGTGCACAACACATGGTAGTTAGATGCGGTCAACACATGAGAGTTAGAGTTGTACAACACATAGGAGTTAGAGGTGTACAACAAAATCTAGTTAAATGTGTAAAAACATGGAGTTAATCGTTTTACAACACATTGTAGTTAGAGTTGTACGAAGTGTACTACACAAGAGAAAGAGGTGTATAACACACTAGATTCAGATGAGCAGTTGTAGCTTGGGTACTTGGCAGAAAAGGTGTATACGTAGGACTCAGAGCTGTACTCACTTTCATATTTGTACACACCTTTAGAGTTGTACACACCTTCAGAGTTGTAAACGCCTTCAGAGTTGTACATACTTTCAGAGTTGTACACACTTTCAGAGTTGTACACACCTTCAGAGTTGTACACATTTTCAGAGATTTATAAACCTTCAGAGTTGTACACACCTTCAGAATTGTACACATCTTCAGAGTTGTACACACCTTCAGAGTTGTACACACCGTCCGTTAGAGGTCTCCCCGTCTGATTCAGGCTGCAGTATTTTGTTCAATAATACTTTGAACCCGTCAAACAATCTTGATACAGACTTCATATTCTTCCAATGTCCCATGGCAACATAAGAAATAAGTAATCATAATGATAAATGAACTAATCACAATTTTAAAAACTAACATGAAATGTTCTACGTAATCAACAATATTCACTTATCAGATGTGTTATGTAATTAATATTCTTCACTTATTACATGTGTTATGTTATCAACACCAGTCACTTCTAACATGTGTTATGTAATCAAAACTCGTCACTTGTTAAATGTGTTATGTAATCAACACTATGTAGAGTTCATAAAATTATAAATCAGAGGCGTAGCGAGGGTGTTTGGTGCCCGGGGACAAGATCCATTTTAAAGCGCCCCTTTTTCTTTTTTTCAACTCTCAAACCCATTATTTTCATCAATAAAATAATATCAAAGCACATTTTGGCGCCCCTAACTAGCTGGCGCCCGGAGCATCTGTTCCCCCTACCCCCCTCGCTACGCCTCTGTTATAAATTGTTTCCTTTATAATCAAGTATATTTATTGGTTTTTTTTTTTTTTAAATAAAAAAGAAAACATTAAACAATGCTCCGACAATTTGATTTCTGAGACAGTCTAAAACTAACTTGGAAATATGTCTTCTCTAAACAGACTACCCCCCACCAGGTTCCGGTGTGTGGTAAACCAGGGCGCCACTGCCACCGAATGGACCAAGCCAACCGCTTGTACCTAAGCATTGAGAAGTGTTACTGCTGCCAACAACATGACCGTGACGTCACCTTAACGGGCTTCGTGCTTTTGGCCGCATATAGTATATGATGTCATGCATACCTCACCCTGAAATTGATGAATACGGTTTCCATCTATTTTGAATTATTCAAACCATTACAGCAACTAGCAGTCCCGCCTTGTTTTTCCCCCGAAGATTTTAAAATTTTTAAATAAATTATAAAAAAATATATAATAATTTTTAAATAAATTATAAAAAAATATATAATAATTTTTAAAAAAAGGGCTGTTGAAGTGGATGAAAGAAATTAATTTGTATACAATAGGAAAATTTATCGTCACTACTGGACATGAAAAGAATTCTGTTTCTCTCTTGTAAACGATTTACACTAAATCATCCTAGTTGAATATGTGTGTTTGTTAAAATAAGAAAAATCGTATGAAAATATTTGCTGACATTTTTATTTAGAAAATACCAAGAGACAAAGAGCAAACAAAATTACCTTTAAAAATTAGAACAAAAATGAATCAAGGGAAGTAAGGGGAATCTAATATTCTCAATTACTTTTTTCTATCACCTCCCTTGCTCAAGAAAAGGGGGAAAAAATATTATTATTATTATTATTTTTTTGAAGAAGAAGTTTTAACTTTAATATAGTAGTGAAGTCATCTTGCCATCTCATAACACACTGACCCCTTGACCTATTGACCTAGATGTTTCAATGCTAAGATCTAAACAAGCCCCCCTGTTATGACGTCATTTTATGCCATGCCAATCTTGGAATTACCTGGAAACAATAATAAATCTTGTTGGTCATGACATCAGCAACGCTTTCAATCCAACGTGTTTGTTCGTTTGTTTGTTTGTTCGTCTGTCCGTCCATTTTCCTGTTGGTTGGTGTGTGTGTGTGTGTGTGTGCACGTCTTAGAAGTTGTCTACTTCGTTTTACTTTTGTTGGTTGGTTTCCATGGGAAAGACAAGGTTGTTAAAAGAAAAAAGTTGTTAAAAGACATGGGCAATACGTGTTCATACATTTCCAATTAGATTCTATGAGTTGAATTGATTTTTTTTTTTTTTGGCTGATAAGGCTTTGACGAAACATTTATTTATTTATGTTTATGTTAGAAGAGTTGAGAGACGAGATATTTCAAATGACTCGTACAAATTTGTTTTAAAAAAAAATAATAATAAATAAGTTTGTCTGTTGTTTTTTTTTTACTACTTCAAGGGAGGTAAGTTGAAAGATAATTGAAAATAATTGTGTTAAATTGGTTTATCTCCCCGTCAATTACTTTATTATTGTTGCCATTAAATCTTTCCCTTGATCTACCCTGCTTTGGACAAATGTGATGATGAAGGACTTTATTTTATTTTCTACTCTGATAAAGTTTATCTTTAGTGTAAGTCTTTAAATCAGCCTCTTCAATTATTGATATTGTTCCCTTGAGGACATGCCAAGTAACGGTGCTAGAGTTAGTCCCCACCCTCTCCCTACACACACACACACACACACACACACACACACACACACACAAACTCACGCACACTCCATTTTCTCTCTGTATGTACAGTAAGTATCCTGGTAAAGGGACACTGAATTGTTAATCAAATTACTTGCAAGGTCAGCCTTAAACCTGAATCATTTAAAAACTAGACCAGGTAGTCCCTGTAACGCCCCCCCCCTCCCACATACAATACCATCGCTGCCTACATATGTTGTATGTTATATGCTATAACTCTATACATATAATACGATTTGTGTTCATCGGTTAGTAATGAACACCATACAAAGGTCGCCGGATGTCAACTATTCTATCGGAGAAGAGGAATTAAATGTCCACCTGGTTCTGTTACAACTGATACCATTTTCGCTCCTCCAAAAATTTGTTTACCAAGTTTCACGCTAAGAGCTCGTTTCTGGGTTCGCTTAATGTAACATAAAACTAGACTGAAAAAAATCAACACAAAACTATAAAATAAATACATAGTTTTTATTACTTTATAATCGGTTTGGAAAATAGTTTGAAGATATTCCTGGTCATCGGTACAGCAATGGTTGTAGACTGACGGTATGCAGCAATATCCGACCAGACTGCAGCAATTGCTTACCAGTCTGTGGCTATTTCCCAACAGTCTGTAGCAATTTCTCACCATTCTACATTAAGTGCCTACCAGTCTGTGGCAATTTTCCACGAGTCTGCAGCAATTTCCAACCAGTCTGCAGCAATTGCCTACCAGTTTGTGGCAATTTCCCATAAGGCTGCAGCAGTTACCCAACAGCCTGCAGAAATTTCCTATCAGTCTGCAAAAATTTCCTACCAGCCTGCAGCAATTTTCCACCAGCCTGCAGAAATTTTCTACTAGTCTGCAGTAATTGTTTACCATCCTGCAGCAATTTCCTACCAGCCTGCAGCAATTTTGCCACCAGCCAGCAGCAATTTGCCACCAGACGAAAGTTATTTTTTCTACCAGACTACCTGAGTTAATTTGATTCTTTCTAATGTTATTAGCATTTCTGTAGTAAGTTAAAGGGAAACAAGTTGTTAAAGGACAAGGTTGTTAAAAGACATAGTTGTTAAAATAAAAAGTTGTTAAAAGACAAGGCTGTTAAAGACAAAGTTGTTAAAAGTCAAGGTTGTTAAAAGACAAGATTGTTAAAAGATAAGGTTGTTAAAAGACAAAGTTGTTAAAGACAAAGTTGTTAAAAGAGAAGGCTGTTAAAACATTTTTTTAAAAAGACAAGTTTGTTAAAAAACAAGGTTTTTAAAAGACACGGTTGTTAAAAGACAAAGTTGTTCAAAGACAAGGTTGTTCAAAGACAAGGTTGTTAAAAGACAAGATTGTTAAAAGACAAAAATTTTAAAAGAGAAGTTTGTTGAAACACAAAGTTGTTAAAAGACACATTTTTTAAAAGACAAGGTTTTTAAAAGACAAGGTTGTTAAAAGACAAGGTTGTTAAAAGATAAGGTTGTTAAAAGTCAAAGTTGTTAAAAGACAAAGTTGTTAAAAGACAAGGTTGTTAAAACACAACGTTGTTAAAAGACGAGGTTGTTAAAAGACAAAGTTTTTAAAAGACAAGGTTGTTAAAAGACAAGGTTGTTAAAAGACAAGATTGTTAAAAGACAAGGTTGTTAAAAGATAAGGTTGTTAAAAGTCAAGGTTGTTAAAGACAAAGTTGTTAAAAGAGAAGGTTGTTAAAAGACAAAGTTGTTAAAAGACAAAAATGTTAAAAGACAAAGCTGTTAAAAGACAAAAATGTTAAAGATAAAGTTGCTTCAATCAATACTTTATAAATCTCACTGCTTCTACTGCCCAATACAATCAGCGTAGTCTATGCTACGATTAAAATCATAGTTCTAATGAGTCGTGCTCCTTACAAGCTCCGGCATTGTCATTGCGTTGCTTGGTTGCTAGCCGAGACTGGCATGGTTGGTAGCCGAGACTGGCATGGCTGGTAGCCGAGACTGGCATGGTTGGTAGCCGAGACTGGCATGGCTGGTAGCCGAGACTGGCATGGTTGGTAGCCGAGACTGGCATGGCTGGTAGCCGAGACTGGCATGGTTGGTAGCCGAGACTGGCATGGTTGGTAGCCGAGACTGGCATGGTTGGTAGCCGAGACTGGCATGGTTGGTAGCCGAGACTGGCATGGTTGGTAGCCGAGACTGGCATGGTTGGTAGCCGAGACTGGCATGGTTGCTAGCCGAGACTGGCATGGCTGGTAGCCGAGACTGGCATGGTTGGTAGCCGAGACTGGCATGGTTGCTAGCCGAGACTGGCATGGTTGCTAGCCGAGACTGGCATGGTTGCTAGCCGAGACTGGCATGGTTGCTAGCCGAGACTGGCATGGTTGGTAGCCGAGACTGGCATGGTTGCTAGCCGAGACTGGCATGGTTGCTAGCCGAGACTGGCATGGTTGCTAGCCGAGACTGGCATGCGCTGTGAGACGATTACGTTCGAATCCTTCTCCCAAACGACTCCGATAAGTGCCGCTGGTACACATGTTGTTTACTTTAACTGCTTGGATGTGGGAAGAGAGCAAGACTAAGTAGTTATCACATTATTCATCTTTGCCTTTGAATTGAGAATGGAGGGTACAATTGAGAAATTGTTGGCTATTATGTTCATAAGACGACTTCACAAAGGATACAATGACGTCAGAAGAGAAGCTACACGGGAGGATAAATGCCATGGATGGACAAATGCCATCTCGAAAATGTCATGGGTGGATAAATGTCATTGATGAACAAATGTCATGGATGCACAAATGTCATGGATGAGCAAATGTCATGGATGGAGTTTATGGATGTAAATATTTTATGGATAGATACATATATTAGATTATCAAATTTAAGGAGGTAGTTATATTCGAGGAGTTAGGGGACATTAGATGGGGGACATTAGGTGGGGACATTAGATTGGGAACATTAGATGGCTGACATTAGAGTGGTACATTATATGGGGATATTAGATGGGGGAATTAAATGGGAGACATTAGGGGGGGGAATTAAATGAGGGACATTAGATAAGGGACATTTGATTGGGGACATTAGATGGGAAACATTAGATGGAGGCATTGACAGAGGGACATTAGATGGGGACATTAGACTGAGGACAAGATCGACATTTAAAATCAAAAAAATGACGGTAAAATACATTATAACACGCCCCCCCCCTTACATCCTGACATTATGAAATACATTCGTCTCACTACATCAGACTGAAGCTTCGTCTCACTACATCAGACTGAAGCTTCGTCTCACTACATCAGACTGAAGCTTCGTCTCACTACATCAGACTGAACCTTCGTCTCACTACATCAGACTGAACCTTCGTCTCACTACATCAGACTGAACCTTCGTCTCACTACATCAGACTGAACCTTCGTCTCACTACATCAGACTGAAGCTTCGTGTCACTACATTATACTGAACCTTCGTCTCAATACATCAGACTGAACCTTCGTCTCACTACATCAGACTGAACCTTCGTCTCACTACATCAGACTGAACCTTCGTCTCACTACATCAGACTGAACCTTCGTCTCACTACATCAGACTGAACCTTCGTGTCACTACATAAGACTGAACCTTTGTCTCACTACATCAGACTGAACCTTCGTCTCACTACATCAGACTGAACCTTCTTCTCACTACATCAGACTGAACCTTCGTCTCACTACATCAGACTGAACCCTCGTCTCACAACATCAGACTGAACCCTCGTCTCACTACATCAGACTGAACCTTCGTCTCACTACATGAGACTGAACCTTCGTCTCACTACATCAGGCTGAACCCTCGTCTCACTACATCAGACTGAACCTTCGTCTCACTACATCAGACTGAACCTTCGTGTCACTACATCAGACTGAACCTTCGTGTCACTACATCAGACTGAACCTTCGTCTCACTACATCAGACTGAACATTCGTGTAACTACATCAGACTGAACCTTCGTCTAACTACATCAGACTGTACCTTCGACTCACTACATCAGACTGAACAATTCGTGTCACTACATCAGACTGAACCTTCGTCTCACTACATCAGACTGAACCTTTGTCTCACTACATCAGACTGAACCTTCGTCTCACTACATCAGACTGAAGCTTCGTCTCACTACATTAGACTGAAGCTTCGTCTCACTACATCAGACTGAACACTCGTCTCACTACATCAGACTGAACCTTCGTGTCACTACATCAGACTGAACCTTCGTCTCACTACATCAGACTGAACCCTCGTCTCACTACATCAGACTGAACCTTCATCTCACTACATCAGACTGAACCCTCTTCTCACTACATCAGACTGAACCCTCGTCTCAATACATCAG